GGGGAATCACTTGGTCAGGAGTTCTAGACCAGCCTGGCCAACATGGCGAGGACCCTGCTCTCTATAAATACTAAAAATAGCCAAGGCATGGGTGGGCGCCATCGTTAATCCCAGCCTTACTTGGGATAAGAGCTGGATCGGTGAGCAGATAGGTTGCAGTGAGCCAAGATCGTGCCACTGGCAACTCAGCCCTGGGCACAGAGCAAGACTGTCTCAAAAAAAAAAAACCAACAATAAGAAATTTCACTATTAACTTCGGCATGGGTGGGTGCATACCTTAAATCTAGCTACTTTCCTGGAGGCTGAAGCAGGAGGATTGTTGAAGCCAGGAGTTGGAGACCAGCGCCTGGGCAGCATAAGTGAGAACCCCGTCCTCGAAAAATAATAAATAGTTCTTCTATTGATACAACTTTACTTAGACCTCCCCCCTTTTTTTTTTTCTTTTTTTTGTTGAGACCGAGTCTGCTGTTGTTGCCAGGCTGGGGTGCAGTGGCGCGATTTTAGCTCCTGCAACCTCTTACCTCCTGGGCTCAGCAATTCTCCTGCCTCAGCCTCCCGAGTAGCTTGGGACTACAGGCGGCGTGGGCCACCCACAGAAACGCCTAGCTTGAGTTTTTGTATTTTAGTGAGATGAGGGTTTTTCACCAACCGTTGGCATAATGGTGTCCGGTGCCTCTTTGACTCTCGTGAATCTTGCCCCCTCGGCATCCCAAAGTGCGGGAATTACACGGCATAGCCATTTAATGAAATACTCTAAAGCAGTTAAAAACAATGAAATAGATCTATAAGGTGTCACAATGAAAGATGTCCAAGACATGCCAGTTTTTTTTAAAAAAGCTAGTGCTCTTTCTATTCAAAACGTTTACAAGCAAGACTACTTTTGTAAGCAGGAAAAAAAGCAATGAAGATAAACAATGAAAAATTACAACATTTAGGAAATCATGGGCTAGATTACACAGTGGTTCTCAAAGTGTGATGCCCAGCCAGCCATATCCGTTACACCTAGCATTTGTCAGGAGGGCAAATTATTTCGCCCCATCTCAGATCTATTAAATCAGAAACCCTGGAGGGGGGCCCAGCAATGTGTGTTTTGACAATCCCCCGGTGATTCTGATGCATGCTAAATTTGAGAACTATGGGTTAGACTTTTACAGAGGATGCAGAACTTGATGGAATCCCCTTGGTAGGAGTACTTCACCATAAGAATAAAATGAAGTCTCGGAGCACAGTGAAAATAAAGGTGGTTTCAAAACGCAACACACCAATCAGGTATCATCACAATTGCAGCTCAGGTGGCAACTACCTCGAATTATAAAGATTAACAGACTAACCACGACATTTCACTCTTAGAAGTCAACAAGGCTTTAAACAGGGGAAGGACGCCAACACCTAGTTTTCCGTATCCCAGGTGGGGCCTCTACTTACGGCAAGTGTGTCCATCAGCAGAAAGAATAAATCGCCTCTTGGAACACTTGCCACCTTCCACCTCGTCTGATGACGTACACTTTTTCTCCTGAGACAAGCAAGCTCCCACACGGTCAACTCCACACTGGAGCTCAGAGCCGGCCTCTCCCCAACTCTTGGACCCCAGGAAAGCTGGCAAAGCGCTGATCCCCAAAGAGTGGCAAGAGGCTTAGGGCGGGGATCCAGATACCCAGGGAAAGAAGTACCGTCCCAGGACCCCAGCCAAAAAAAGAGACTAGACTCACTGAAGGAGACGAGAATAAAACTCCTCAGCCGCGCAATTCAGTCGCTCCCACATCCCGCCCCAAGGTGAGAGCGGGACCGGAACCGCAAAACTGAACTGCGCGCCGGGAGGGAGACGTCAGGAGTCATGGCCCCGCCCCGCCGGGACTACTTTGACCCCTCACCATAAGTCCCATTTGTCCGCAAAGTTAAACTTTTGTTTCAAATAGCCACCCAAAGCTATTTACTATGTCAATAGTCCTCAATTTCCGTCTGCAATAATTAAAATAAACGTGGTGGTTGGGGAGAAGATACCCTGACTCGCGAGAGTTGGCCACGCCCCCTATGGATTATTCCGCGAAAAGGAGTCCCTATTTTCTAAGAATTATTATTAGCTTTGGAAGAAAAGAGATACCGTAATTTCCCACAAATAAAGAAATAACACTCTCGTTTTTATTTTTGTAATGTGGTAGAGAGATATTTTGTGTATCCGTCTTCTAAGGCGGGGCAAAGTGGGGCGGTCTAGGGGAAGGTGACATATACAGCGGAAGGTGACATATACGGCGGAAGGCGTAAGTACATCCTTTTCCTGTAGCAGCATCCGGGGTGAGAGGAACGTGGTTGTCTCCTCTCTCCGCCATGGTGAGTGGAAATGATTTTCGCTGGCCTTACCCCATATCTCGGGGCCAGTAAAGAAGGATTTGGGGTTTGGAACATAGAATCTGTAGGAGATAGAGCGAGGAGAACGAGATGAGGACCAAAGACGTCTTTTTCTGGTGTGAAACTGGGATGTGCGGCGATACGGCAGCCATCTTAAAGGCAACGTGGGGTTCCCAGCACAGGAAGCGCCGGGAAGCAGTAGTGGAAAGCAATGGGTCATTCTCAGGAGCAGTGGAACCTTTTCTTAGAATACTTGACTATTTAGTCTTTTTCTGAATGCTCATCTCTGCCCAGCTTAGGAATCATCTCTATTAAAAGTTTTCTGGTTCTCTTCACTTAAAAATTGTTCTGTTCGGTGTCATCAAAATCTTTGAATTCTTAGTCAACTCGTAATAAGACCAGTGTTATATGTGTACTGCTTTTCCACAAATAGCGTCCGTATATGCTACGTAGTGTTGTTAGGCCAGCCTCAGGATTTTGATTTTACTCACAGATGGGAAGCCTTTGGAGGTTTAAACAAAAAGTAGTATCACCCAGTCTTTCTACTGGTGAGCTTTGGAAACGTGTTTAGTAGAGGGTGAGGGTGAGTGGGACAGGGATGGAAGTTGGGATGAGTAGAGCCTGGGTAGACAGGATTTGCTGATTAATTGGCATTAAACAGCATCTCCAAACCTTGCAATATGGTTTTGATTTAGCTAGTGTGCTTTATAAGGCTTGCTTTGAAAGTTTTACAATAAACAATTCTCTTTGAAAATAAAAATGTACGGTAGAGTTTGAGCTTATAAGGGCTCTAGTCATTTACTGCTATTTTGGTTTAAGCGTTGTTTGCCCCACCATACCAGTCTTTTCTGCAATTGAGTATTTAATGGTATTGTTGGCATAGGAGAAGAGTTTGCTTCCAACATTACTTGTCAATAAAAATAATCCTTTCCTTTTTTTTTTTAGGCGTGTGCTCGCCCACTGATATCGGTGTACTCGGAAAAGGGGGAGTCATCTGGCAAAAATGTCACTTTGCCTGCTGTATTCAAGGCTCCTATTCGACCAGATATTGTGAACTTTGTTCACACCAACCTGCGCAAAAACAACAGACAGCCCTACGCTGTCAGTGAATTAGCAGGTATGGATTTATACCTTCTGCAGATATTTTAGGGACTGCTTTACAGTAGTGATGAAATTCCACTTCATTGGTCCGTGTTTCTGAACCACATGATTTTCTCGGATGTTCTGATGCTGTTTGCTACCATGCATAATAATCATAGGTTGGTATTTATGATGAAGCAGCTAAAGTTTTTCTCTCTCAATTTTAGGTCATCAGACCAGTGCTGAGTCTTGGGGTACTGGCAGAGCTGTGGCTAGAATTCCCAGAGTTCGAGGTGGTGGGACTCACCGCTCTGGCCAGGGTGCTTTTGGAAACGTATCCTTTGTTTCACTACCTAAGACTGATCAGCTCTGATGGAATTTAGCAGACTGGGTCTGGTTTATTGATGATAATACAGTGTAAAAATACTACCTTTTTTGTCTTGAAGAAAGGGGCTTCGTTTATATGGGGTTATTTTGCTTGCAATGATGTCGTAATTTGCGTCTTACTCTGTTCTCAGCGACAGTTGCCTGCTGTCAGTAAGCTGGTACAGAAGGTTGACGAAAATTTTTACTGAGCAAGAAATAACCTTATTTTAATTACTAAAATTTGAGAAATGTGATTCTTGACTGGAAAAATAGATGTGTCGTGGAGGCCGAATGTTTGCACCAACCAAAACCTGGCGCCGTTGGCATCGTAGAGTGAACACAACCCAAAAACGATATGCCATCTGTTCTGCCCTGGCTGCCTCAGCCCTACCAGCACTGGTCATGTCTAAAGGTTTGTAACACTTGTATTATAAAAGAGTTTGATAGAAGAAATAAGACACCTACTGTTTGATGATTAGGGTGGTGGTTATTCACAGTAACCCATTTCAAGATGGCTAGAAGAGAATAATTTGAATGTTTTTAGCATAAAATGTTTTAGTTAATGGATATTCCAGTTGACAAATGAGGGCATTCAGTTATTAAATGTACTCCAGAAATACATGTTACATACCAGTTTAAAAAAATTTTATATCAGAGTGATACAAAATGCCCCACTTTTCTTTCACATGAATGTTTGTTAAAATTGCACATTCTTTTCATCCTGAAGTGTCTGATTAAATTTTAATCCTTTACTAAATATTAGGTCTGACTACTTAAATCTGACAAATCAATCATCAGCGAATACTAGTTTAACTGGGGAACTAATTATTCAAGTAGTGGTTTAGTATAATCCTTAGAAAACTGTCTACTTAAACTTGCCTATTATGTTCCCCACCGCATTTTTATTTAACTGTCAAAATGATGAGATTCCACTTAATTGGTCCGTGTTTCTGAAACACATGATATTTGTGGAAATTCTGACTTGGCAAATTGAATGCCATTTTGCTTTTATTGGTTGTATAAAATGTTTGATTTTTTTTTTTTATTTCCCAAAAGGTTCAGGATAACCAAGTAAGTGTCAAATTGGTTTTTGTTAGGTCATCGTATTGAGGAAGTTCCTGAACTTCCTTTGGTAGTGGAAGATAAAGTTGAAGGCTACAAGAAGACCAAGGAAGCTGTTTTGCTCCTTAAGAAACTTAAAGCCTGGAATGATATCAAAAAGGTCCGTTTAATGAACACATTTACAGTTTGGTACTCCTTGTTCACAATTTGTCACTTTGAATTTCAGAAGATAAGGGTGGTATGGCTAAGCCTTAATGTGTGAGAGAACAAGAACCTCAGAGCCCAATTACTTGGGTTTAAATCCTAACTGCCATTTAAGGCTCTGTGTAACCTTGGCAAGTTATTGTGCCCAGTTTAATCATCTGTAAAATGGAATTAAGACTCTGAAGATCTATTGCAGAAATTGTATCTTAATCAAAATACTAAAACTGCTCACTTTGTAGGTCTATGCCTCTCAGCGAATGAGAGCTGGCAAAGGCAAAATGAGAAACCGTCGCCGTATCCAGCGCAGGGGGCCGTGCATCATCTATAATGAGGATAATGGTATCATCAAGGCCTTCAGAAACATCCCTGGTAATTAAACTGCTTTCATATATTGACTAGGTATAGTCTGCAACTCTACTCAGCTTTTGTTATGATGAGATTCCACTTCATGGTCCGTGTTTCTGAAACACATGATTTTGTGGAAGTTCTGATTTATGGCTGAAAGAGTTGCACCATTGATGGTGGAAACTTCATAATTAATAAGTTCTCAGGTACCTTTTGTAGCTCTTAAGCCATAAAGATGATTTGTGTTTCTTTTGTTGAAATACAGGCTCCCTAATGTTTCTTTCCCTTTAAAAGGAATTACTCTGCTTAATGTAAGCAAACTGAACATTTTGAAGCTTGCTCCTGGTGGGCATGTGGGACGTTTCTGCATTTGGACTGAGAGTGCTTTCCGGAAGTTAGATGAATTGTATGGCACTTGGCGTAAAGCCGCTTCCCTCAAGAGTAACTACAAGTGAGTATCTTTCATATACTAAGCACAGATGTTTATATTGTGGATATTAACATTCAGAATTGGCTTACATGTTTTCTAGATAATTTTGTTCCCATTTGCCCTTATGTGCAGCAACAATATGCCAAAATGGAACTCATCTGGTCCGTGTTTTTGGTTTTTGTTGGTTTGGTTTTTGAGACAGTCTTGCTCGCTCTCTCCCACGCTGGAGTGATCTGATTCCAAACCGCCTCGGGCCTCACACCAAGTGCTGGGGATTATTAGGGGGCTGAGGCACTGCAACCCCCGGCCATGTTAATGAGAAAGCGATGAGTGTTAGTAGATATTTGGGGGAGCATACGTGGTTAAAAAATTAAAAGCTTCAGTTGGAGCTTCATGTTTCTTTGGGTGATTACTTTTACATGTACATGTCAATTCTTCCCTTTCAGTTCCTCCCATGCACAAGATGATTAATACAGATTTCTTAGCAGAATCTTGAAAAGCCCAGAGATCCAAAGAGCCCTTCGAGCACCACGGTTTAAGTTGCCTTTACAGTGTAATTCTTGCCCTAACCGTATACTATTGGTTGTTTCAAAAATTTGTATGTGTATAAGTTAAGTGTTTGACTCCAGTGTCTGCCTTTTTTATAGCAAGAAGATTTCATCGCAGAGCGCTAAAGAGAACCCACTGAAAAACTGAGAATCATGTTGAAGCTAAACCCATATGCAAAGCCATGCGCCGGAATACCATTCTTCGCCAGGCCAGGAATGTGAGTGGTTTTGTGTTGTTGTTTGTTTTAGACGGAAATCTGCTCTGTCACCCAGGCTGGAGTGCAGTGGTGCAATCTTGGCTCACTGCAGCTTCCACCTCCCAGGTTCAAGCAATTCTCCTGTCTCCGCCTCCAAGTTAGCTGGCACTACAGGCACAGCCACCATTCCAGCTAAATTTTTTCAGTTTTTCAGTAGAGACGGGGTTTCACCATATTGGTGGGGTGGTCTCAAACTCCTGACCTCAGGTGATTCACCCGCCTCAGCCTCCCAAAGTGCTGGGATTACAGGCGTGAGCCCACCACGGCCTGGGCTGGGTTGTTTTTTTTTCCTACTGATACATTAAGTTCTTAGAATAATATGATGGTTCTTG